TTAATATTAAAATCACACTCAGTGGTTTTTAAATTCAGTCACAAGAAGTTAAGTCACTATGGTACATGGTAGGGTACATGTACTATGGGGAAGGTACCACTTTAAAGATGTGGAAACTGAGACACAGAGAGGTGACTTCACTTTCCTAAAGAGGAAGAGCCCAAGACTGCTGGCATCATGATTAGAACCCAGACAATCCTAGTCTATGCGTAACTACTATTGATTTCCCTGCTCTTTGTTTTTAGAACACTCTTCTTGCTACTCTCGGGCTCCCCAGGTGGCTCAGTGGTATAGAAGCTGCCTAGCAATGCAGGAGATGCAGGAGATGCAGGAGATGCAGGTTCGATCCCTGGGTCAAGAAGATCCCCTGGAATAGGAAATGGCAACCCACTCCAGTATTCTTGCCTAGAGAATTCCATGGACAGAGGAGCCTGGCGGGCTACAGTCCGTGTGGTTGGAAAGAGTCAGACATGGCTGAGTGACTGAGCACACATGCATGAACTTCCTACTTTCACCAGCTTTCACCTACTTTCACCTACTTTCACCTACTTTCACCTACTTTCATCACTTTATACTTAGTGATGGTCAAAAGCAAAAACTAAAAGGCATGCTTCAAAACTGGGGGGGAAAAAAAGCTTTATCTTCCCCAAACATAATTTTATTTAACTGAAAAAAATATGTGTGCAAATTGGACACTTTGGGTACATAAAGTCAAGTGCTACTAATTAAGTAAATGAGTGACGAATCATAATATCAACACTAGTCATTAAATAAAATTGCATTTAAATTAGATTTACCAGATAGTTTACGGTACAAAAAAAAAAAATAATTAAGAGAACTTTAAGGAAAGCTTCCAATAATTTTATTCTTAAAACCTATATAATAATGGACTCTCTGGGACTATTTTATACTATGACTGCAAATAGAAAATGGGAGAGCAAACTCCGTAATGCTTTCTGTTTCTCTCAACATTCCTCTAGAGTGGCATCTTTTAAGCAACATGAGACAGGATTTAATTCACCCAAGAGAGGTCACCTTGCTTGAGGGGTAAGTTCCTTCTGTCTAAATTCAGTTTACTCAACCAAATGTACCACAGAACGGAAAGCAGGGCATATTCCTGTCCTGAAATTCTTCCTATATTAAATAAAACCGCCTTACTTTTGCAGCAAATGAGCCATGAGATACAATGCCAGAAATTGGTTTGGAAGAGTGAGTACATATTCTGAAAAAGCGTGTCTGTATATTTTGTAATGAAAAGTCCCTGGACAGCCCTGGATACCACAGAAGATGTAAAAGGGCATAGGAACGCAAATAGGGACAAAACCATACAAAAAGACTGAATGCATCATCACTGAAAGAGACATTTATTCTTCCACAAACATATACATTGACTGATGGTTAATTGTATCTGATGAGTGGTTCTCAGGTGCCTCAGTAAAATGTCACTGCCCTGGAGCTTGTGTCCCTGGCATAGCTAGGGTAAGTCATTACTCCCCCAGTACAGTTTCCTGTTATTTCCTTCCTAGAACTTTTCAAAAGCTCTAATTGTTTCCTTTAGTTTTCCCATTTGCTAATTATCTATGACCCCTTTGTCTGCCAGGTGCCTTGTCATATCAGCAGTGCCTAGCTCAGTGCCAGGCACCCAGCAAGAAATTCTAAAAAAAAAATATTTGCTGAATGAACAAAATAGCCCTGAGTGGCAAGCATGAAACAACATTCCTTTGAGTTCATTCTTACAAACCAGATTCTATTTCATTTCATTAAATATTTTTATTTACTGGCTGTCTTCTGAAATTACTCTGGGTTCTCATTAATAGGGAGAAACTGATTCTATCTTGGGGGGGGGGTACTTTCGGTCACTTGCTCCAAAGGTCTTTTAAAATGATGTTGTAGTATAAATTGGTTCAAAAGCAAGGTCCAACATTTTATTACCTCCAGATTTATTCAGAAAAGCTGAAGACCTGTGATAAGGCTCATTAAGTCGCTGAAGGGCCTATCTTCACATGCCTTTCACACAAAAGGTCTCAACTTAATGCCAGGTAATTACTGTTCATTTTCCCCTGGTTATTTCTATTTCCTGAAGATTCCCAGGGAAGTTGGCCTTAGTGGACACTCCCTACAGTTTCACACGTGAGCACAATAAGAAGGGTCATGTTTACCAGAGGATCTTTCTGAAGCTGCCTCTAAGGAAGGAAAGACGACTCTGACTCTAGGGACCAGAATTTAAACACAGATCATCTATAAGTCACCCTCCTTCCAGAATCAAGGCCAAGAGAGACAAGTTCCTGGCATACCAACTGACTTCTGTCTACATTTTAAATATATCACTTTTTACAGTACACATATCCTCTTCCACATATATAGGATCATGGATGTGGGCTCTAGCTCCAGCTTTGTTGTTGTTGTTTGGTTGCTAAGTCATGTCTGACTCTTTGCAATCCCAAGGACTGTAGCCCACCAGGCTCCTATGCCCATGGGATTTCCTAGGCAAGAATAATGGAGTCAGTTGCCATTTACTTCTCCAGGGGATCTTCCCGACCCAAGGATTGAACCCACATCTGTTGCATCTCCTGCATTAGCAGGCTGATTCTCTACCACTGATCCACCAGCCAAGCTTTATAGTAAATATGATCCTAGTCCCACTGGACCCATCAATGGTATAAAGGCATTCAAATTTCACTATTTGAGACCCAGCCCAATAGACGGTGAATACTGAAAAAAAAAATCCTATTTTGGGCATTTTCATTTCAGTTTGCCAGGGGAAAGTGGGATAGCTCTTAGAGGTCACTGAAGCCACCAGCCCCAAACTATACCTGCTTTTATATTTAGTCAGTTGTTGGCTGTAATTCACCTATCCCCACTACAATGATTCAACCTACAAACTTGTCTCTCAGTGGGCTTTCCTCAATTCAGCAGTGTCCATGGATGACCAGCCAGGTCATTCATGAGAGTCCAGCTTCTTAAAAATACTATCCACAGTCCAGTGGACTTCTAGGAAGGGCAATGACTGGGTACAGAGTGAAATGTCAATAAATACTGTTCATTATAATTGCTGTTGTTCTTAACAAGAACAGCACCCCATTTCCCAAAATACTCTCTTTATTTGTGCCTACAATGCCACAAAGATTTTCTGTTGAGTCTTAATACTTTGCTCTTTTTTTTTTTTAACTTGAAGCACAATGATTACAAATATAGACTTTGAATTCAAAGAGCCTTGGACTTGAATTTCTACTCAACTTAATTTTTGACTGGTTATTCTACTTCTGTATATAGCTAAAGAAAGACACACATGGGTTCTATGTGTTAGACAAATGAAAATCAATGGAAACAATAAAATAATCTTCCACTTAACAAGTCTCTCCATTTGTTTTTCAAAATCTCCAGGCTATTGAATGTGCCTCAGCCTCCACTCTTTCCCTCTTCAAACTTCAGCACCTCCTTCTCCAGCTTCTCACTGCACTGGGCTGTGAGAACACAAACAGTTCTCTGGTACAAACATCCTCAGAGTTCTGCCACAAACACAGATGCCTGTGAAAATTACACAAAACTTCCCAGCGAGAAGCAGCAGAGCAAGGTCGATCTCTTACATGGCCCCTTAGCTACAAGAGCTACTTAAGTATAGTAGCTAAGAGCATAATCTCTGACCTCAAATGACCTGGGTTTCATTCTCTGCTCTGTTACCAGGGTGAGAAAGATGGCTTTATCACACAGAGCATGTCACATCAGTTCACCATGTAGAAATAGGGTTGATAATAATATCAAGTTCTATGGGCTGTTACACAGATTAAATGAGATTATTGCAGGTTATTCTGTAAAACCCTTAGTAATGGTATCACTTATATAGGAGACAGTCAATAAACATTATTATATTTAGACATTATATTATATTTAGACATCTTGGGTATGTGGCTTCCAGAAGATTGTTTATATTAGATGGTCGCTATAGAGAGGCAACATATAGATTAAGTCCTCCAAAGGAGTAAAGTTAGCATATTTGAACTTGGAGTCTTGATCTTAAAAGGTTACAGAGAATTGTTCATTCACAACAAGTCAGGAATCACAGGAAGGGGAATACATACTCCCTTGGCTTTCTTAGCAAGCCAATTCTATCTAAAATGTCAGGAGACCTTTCTCGTTTCCAGAGATGTTTCTGGAAATACCAACTGCTAATTGGTTTTCAAGATTCATCCTTCAAAAGTGGCATTTTTTCAACATTTTTTAAACTAGTAAGATGTTAACATGAAACTTGTTAAGAGGATGACCAAAATACATTGGAAAAAACAGGAAGCACCTGTTTCTTTTTCCTGCCCCATCCCTCACATTATGCTTGCTCCCTTAATGGTAGAAGATGGATGCTCTTCAGCCAAGTAAAAGGAAAAAAAAAATGTGAATAATGTAGTACCACTAGGATCTAGCTTCTTGAGCTCCCAGCCCATTCCCGACAGGTTCACAATCCACAGCATGGATAAATACATGGACAGAACGGAAAAGTTAGGAAGGCAGGGGGTGAAAAATTAGAATCATACCACTGAAGAGAGAGAAATTATACTCTCTTCTACATGAGAGACAACATAGTACACAGACATATCAAGTCTGGGTTTGGGTGACTGCTGGAAAAAAATGTGTTTTGAGATCAGAACTGTATATTTGAAACCCCCCTGGCATAACACTGGCCTATGTGTCTGAGTTCAAAAGTAAAAGGTCAAAATTCCCTGTGTCTAGGACTGTCCATCAAGCTAACCAGGGAAGAGCCTGGAGGAGGGCATGGCAACCCACTCCAGTCTTCTTGTCTAAAGAATCCCATGGACAGAGGAGCCTGGTGGGCTATAGTCCATGTGGTCACAGAGTGGTCACAGACAACTGAAATGACTTAGCATGCACACACAGCCAGGGCAGAAAGGCTTTCTTTGAATATATCATCTCTCTTCAAACCCCACCATCCTTCATTTAACAGAGGGCAGTTAATGCACATATATGATAACATTGTGGTAAATATTTACCAATTGTTGGGGGACAGGGAGATGCTCACACTGTAGTGTTTGCCAATTTCCATGGTGTAAACACATTCACCATGTCTGATATCACTGCAGGAAGGTGAAAAGAGATGCATACAGTCAGCTCTGACAAATAGGTACAAGCGGATTTCAACAATGCCTAAACTGTGCTTTAGGGGATGAAAACCTCACTGGCAAATATCCTTTTCAGGTATATGTGGTTGATGTCAAAGCAGCTTTTATATGGCAAATTATCAGAGTTCAAGTATTATTTAAGTACTGGAAATGGAAAGATAATTTCTAATCCATTTTCTATCTGAATGAAATGTTAACTTCTATCATCCATCTGTGCACTTCCTCTTCTAGTAAATGTGATTTTTTAGAACTTTCTTTTCTCTTTTCAGCTCTACATCTGCTAGTGTTTTCCATTTGCCAGCTCCCAACATGTCCCCAATTACTTCTTTTTTATTTTATAGCCTACATGCTGATGTTTCATCAGTTACAACTGCTGGGTTCCACTGAGCATTAACAGTCTGCAGTGCCTCTAGGAGGGTACATAATTCACTAAGTATACCAAACCTCTTTTTCTCCAAAGAGTATTGTTTAATATAAATATAGTGTGAGGTTAATGTAGTTCCAAAGAAAGGTTTTTTTCCCTTAGAAGCATCAAAAATGGGAGAAAAAAAAAGAAAACATGATTCATAGAAGACTGGTTTATACACTAGAATAAGAAACCACATGCATTTAAGAAGTATTATTTCAATTGGCATATTTTTACCAAACAAAAAGAAAAAAATTAATTGAGTATATGAATAAGTTGATATTTTAATCTATTCAATCAAAATATTTTTGATAAGAAATATAAAAAAAGGAAGCTGAAACTACTTCATGTTAACCATACAAATGCTTGAAAACTTAGAATACAATAGATCTCCAAAATTACTTTAGTCAAAAATGAAGTAAAAGGAAGGATCAAGAAAAAAAATTGTTTTTAATTTGACTTCTCTTATAAATACACAGTCATCATCCATAAAAAGTTCCTGAATAACCTGATAGGTTACCTGTAAATTTCCAAGTATGTAGGAGGAAACCAGAAGCAAATGCCTCAAAAATAATAAAAACCAAGTCACTTCACTCTAATGGTGACTTCAAACAGGTACTATTTTCCAAAGTTTTATAAAAATTCCTTCTGGCAAACACCTTTTATTTTAGAGGTGAACAAAGAAAAAATCAGGTTAAACTGTTCAAAGCCATCTAGCTTAGACCAGAGTTGCATATAGAGAGTGAGAATGGTAGAGGAGCTCGCACTTAGGTGGTGGGGTGGGGAAGAGTGGGGAGGAACAGGAGGAGGGGTTATCTTTGAAGGGCATTTTAAAGACAACAGCAGCAATATTTAACATCTATGGAATATCAAGCAACATTTCCCAGAGGGCAGTGCTAAAGAACACTGATAAAGAACTTGGCTCTCATTGCACGAGTCATAAGAACTGAGGGTTCCATCCCTGGGTCGGGTCGGAAAGATCCCCCGGAAAAGGAAATGGCAACCCACTCCGGTATTCCTGCCACGGTCAGAGTCTGGCAGCTACAGTCCATAGGATCACAAAGAGTCAGACACAACTGAAGCGACTTAGCACACATGCAAGCAACACAGTAAGCCTCAACATACATAATCTTCTCCAGTATCCACACTACTATAAAGTAGGCATTACTAATCTCATTTTACAGATTAAGTAACTAGAGAGAGTTACCCCTCACAATTTTAAGTAAATGACCAAGGTCTAGAGCTTAGCCAAGTCTTATCCTCAGTGGGAAAAGGCAGGGGTGGAGTCCATGTTGGTGGAAGGCATCAGTCATTTGCTTTCATGCTGCAACTTCTAATTTCCAGACAGGGTGTTAGCAACCAAAATTTCACCACCTTTAAAACTTATTAAAAAGATGCTATTTCTGCAGGATAGGCTCAGAGGCCAGACTACTGCCCCCCCCCCCCCGCCACTTCCTGTTCACCCCCCATCTATCCATTTGCTGCAGTTCCACAATGAGTAAGTGGCAGAGCTAAAATTCAAACTCAATTATGTTTGACTCAAAAGGAGCAAAAATTTTAACATTCAGGCCAAATGTATTTTGCTTCTCAAGAGGAAAACAAGAGTAGTGATTAGATCAAGCTTTCAAGTCTGTGAATGTGTCCAGAAAAAAATAATAAGTCATTATCTCCAGTTCCTTCCATGCCTACCCTGTGATTTTCAGCAACTACTAATTGTCTGCAAAGTTCCTTGCAGATGCCCCTTCTCCAGGATCAGAAATCTTCCTGGACCTTGCCTCAGAATAAGCCTTCCCATTTTGGATAGAGACATGCCAGACTCATCCTATAACCCAGTTGTTCTCAAAAGATGACCCCTAGAACATAAGCAGCAGCATCACTGGAGAACTTGTCAGAAAAACAAATGTTCAGGCCCTACCCAGACCTACTGAACCAGAAATTCTAGAGAGGAGGTCCATATCTGTGTTTTAACAAGCCTACCAGATGATTCTGATGCCACTCAAGCTTGAAAACCGGTGACTTAAGAAATATGTATAGAAGTCTCTGTGGGCCCATAAAAATCACAGCTTGGCTGCCCTATCTCCATCCTCTGCTCACAGCTAAGCTCACAAATCAGGGCTAGACAGATGTTCCTCAGGAAACTTACCAAGTTCCCAACCCCAGAATGTCCTCTGAGCTTCCCTTTCATAGTGTAGCACCGCAAAATTAAATGCTTATTTATGTTTAGTGTCAGTCTCTTCAACTAAACACTAAGCCCCAGGAGGACCACTGTATCTTCACAGCATAACTTTGCGGCTTGGCATACAGTAAGTGCTCAATAAGTACTTTATAAACAAACAAATTATTAAAGTTTGTAATGGTCAGAGAGCGGAATGCAGCATCTATGACACATAAGAGTCTCACAGTTACATTTTCATGTATTCTTCAGTCAAATATTTATCAAGTATCTACTTAGGTTAGACACAATCCTAGACATGAAGGCCAACAGTGAATAAGACAGAAATCAGTAACTAAAACAAAGAACTTGTCTTTATGCCTTCTGGGTCTTTTTTCTAGTTGGGGGAGATAGGGAGTAAAACAAAATAAACTATGAAAAAATACTGCATTTTAGGTGGTGATGAGTAATGTAGAAGAAGACAGAATTGAGAAGGGGGATGGGGCGGTCCTGAGGTAGGAAGTGAGGGAGGCTGAAACTTGAACAAAGTGGTCAGAGTAAGTGTTGAAGGAGTCACATAAGTAAAGATCACCTACATGTTCATCAACAGACAAATGGATGAAGAATATGTGATGTGATGTGTGTGTGTGCGTGTGTGTGCACACATGAATAACAGAATACTACTCAGCCACAAAAAAGAATGAAATTTAGCCATTTGCAGCAACATGAATGGACTTGGAGGGCATTGTGCTGAATGAGATAAATCAGACAGAGAAAGTCAAATACTGTATGACATCATTTATATGTGGAATCTAAAAATACAACAAACTAGTGAATATAACAAAAAAGAAGCAGACACATATATAGAGAATATTCTAGTAGTTACCACTGGTGAGAGAGGAGGGGCAATACAGGAGTAGGGAATAAGAGGTACAAACTATGAGGTATAAAATAAACCATGGGACATACTGTACAACACAGGGGATATAACCAATATTTTATAATAATTATAAATGGAAAATAACCAGAAAAAACTGAGAATCATACTATTATAAATCTGTAATGTATATAATATTGCATAGCTACTTCAATAAAAATATATTTTTAAAAATCTCAAGAAGGTAAAGAAGCAAGTTCTATACTACAAGTACCTGGGAATATGGCATAGGGCTGAAGGCACGCAGGCAAAGCATCCTTGAAAGGTTGGAAGAACAGCAAAGAGCCTGGATGAGTGATCAGGAGGAAAGTAGGAGGAGATGAGGCAAGAGAACTCCCAGGGTAGGGCTAGGCGATGGGGGACAAAAGTTGAAGGCAACTGTTACGACTATAGTCTCTTCTCTAGAAGAGAAGACTTTATCTGACTTATGTTGGAACTGAATCACCTGACTTCTGGGTTGAGACTCAGCGGAAAAAAAGGAAAGCAAGAAGCAGAGAGACCAGATAGGAGTCTATCTCTATAAACCAAGTGAGAGGTGCTGGGAGCTTGACCCCAAAGCAGCAGTACAGTGGTAAGGAGTAGTTGCATGCTGGGCAGAAGACTAGATGCTGCCAAGGCCATGCATATTTTGTGTGCACGGACACACAAAACTGTGTGTCCCACCTAATTGTGTGTCAGGACACAGTTAAACTCCCAGAAGAAATATGTTATATAAAAGATCTGTATAAGTGAGATAGGCATCTCAAGCTTTTAAATAGCAAAGAAAATACAAGGAAGGTATATTTGCAATAATCACAATAGGCAAAGGACTATTTAACCTAACAATCTGAGTAGAAAATGGAGCCCTTGGACAGTTATGTCTCCCACAATGAAATATGAAGTTTACTCAAGAACACCTCAGCGAAGGCAATGGCACCCCACTCCAGTACTCTTGACTGGACAATCCCACGGACAGAGGAGCCTGGTGGGCTGCAGTCCATGGGGTCGCTATGAGTCGGACACGACTGAGTGACTTCACTTTCACTTTTCACTTTCATGCATTGGAGAAGGAAATGGCAACCCACTCCAGTGTTCTTGCCTGGAAAATCCCAGGGACGGGGGAGCCTGGTGGGCTGCCGTCTATGGGGTCTCACAGAGTCGGACACAACTGAAGCGACTTAGCAGCCGCAGCAGCAAGAACACCTCTTCAGACACAGACACAAAGAAAGACTTTTGAACACAGAGGGTGAAGAAGAGGCTGGGATGAATTGAGAAAGTAGGACTGAAACATAGGCACTACCTTATGTAAAACTGATAGCTAGTAGGAAGTTGTTATGTAACACAGGAAGCCTAACCCGGTGCTCTGTAACAACCTAGAGGGGTACGATGGGGTGGAGCGTGGGAAGGAGGTTCAAAAGGGAGGGGACATATGTATACTTAT